AATGGTCCAGTTTTAATACAACTTATTAGGTGTGTTCTTTATGATATTTTAGGGTCTGTATTTATAGTACAATAGTATTTGTCCAATGTCCATCATGGAAGATAATGAGCTTCTCTTGTATGTTTCTAGCCATCAAGTCATGTCTTGCTATTTATCTGGTAGGTGCTAATTTTTTTTTTTTACAGGAAACAGGTAGGTAGCTCAGCAGATAGAGTGCTGGGACTGGCACCAGGAAGACTTGACTTCAAACACTTACTAGCTGACCCTAGGCAAGTCATTTAATCTCTGTTTGCCTCCAGTAATCCACTGGAGAAAGAAACGGCAAAACCACTCCAGTATCTTTGTCAAGAAAATCCAGTATTTTGACAGTTTGTTAGGAATATCAGCTTGCATTGACTAAATGAACTTTTAGAAAATGTTTTTCTGATCAATTAATTACCCTTGTTCCCTTTGGTCACTAATCTACCTGCTTGATTAAGGACCCCAAATCCAAAGATTCTGAATGTTTCTAACAAAATAAAAGCAGCCATTTGTCATTTTAGAGTAATAGACATGTTTCTAAAGAAAGAGTAGGGCAAGTCACTTAATCTCGAATGCCTCATCAAAAAGCAAAAAAAAAAAAAAAGAAAGAAGGAGTAGGGGTCTCTTGCAATATATATAGGATGGATTTTCAGGAACACTTTAAAACCACTGCCAGGCTGTAAACAATGCTGATGCTAGCACCACTGCAAAAACTTGATAGGTAAGTATATTAGAAGAGGAATGAACCTGGCACTTATATTGTAGTGTGTGTGAATGAAACTGCTCAGTTCCTAATCTTCTAGAGTGGGTTTCTTCAATTCTGGTCTGGAAGACTCAGCTAACTTACAGGCTCAGTCAGATTCTTGTCTCACTTGACAGCAAAGGTTCATGTAGGTCCTGGGTAGGCCTCAAGGGTGTTCCCTAGATTTGCTTGAATTCAAAGGTTGTGGAACAGTTTCATCCTTAAATAAATTTATCCGGTGAAAAACAAAAGAAAAGAAAATGTCATGGACGTCACTGGTGCGCTATGTTCTTCAGCATCACAAAGAGTCAGACACATCTGACTGCCACCACCATAACATTTTTAAAACCTGCGGGGATGTGTCGCACACGTTTCCTTCTGTAATCAGTATTGATTGGTTACTCCAGAAAGGATAACCTTTCTGTAATTTCTGGTAGCAATGACCTCTTCTTGAATTGTCAGCACAAATCCTGCTCAAAAACAAAGCTGCAGGACTCAAGTAAAAGCAGAGAATTGACAAGATGATCCCTAAGGTGACTCCCCATTATTTTTTTCAGTGCTTCTTCATGAACATACTGTTGGCTGAGTTCATGTGGCGCTGTCCATGGAAGGCCTTCTGATTTCATTTTTGTATTTTGGTCACTGTGTAGGCTCCATCCAGAGGTAAAACCTTTTTTGTTACATTCACCAAATCCAATGAAGTACGCTTGTTTTTAGCTTTTGGTATTGATTAATAAAGTGATGTATCCTTGCTCCAGAAGTATTTCTGTATTAATTTGACCTGTTTATCATGTATTCTGATAATTTCTATCAAATCTTTTCTTCCTTTTCGGTGAGGAAATATTAGTCTTTCTATAGCTGCCTTAGAGTGATACTACTACTAACTACTACCAGCTAGCATTTATATGATACTTTGGTATTTACAACTCTCATTCAGTCCTCACAACACAACTCTGTGAAGTCGGTGCTATTATTATGCCCATTTAATAGATGGGGAAACTGAAACTGAGAAAGGTTAAATTATTTGTCCCAGTTCTCATAGCTCTCAAGTGTCTGAGACTGGATTTGAACTTAGATCTTCCCAATTCCAGGCCCAGCCTTATCCATTGTGCCGCTTAGCTGCCTCTAGGAGAAGGGAATGCAAATCTATTTCTGTTGCTGGAGAGTAGAACATCCAGCTCACTGAAACCCTGGAGCTTTGTCACAGATGTGAGGTTCTTCCAATAAAGGGCTGAGCTGGATGCTCTGAGGAGCTAGTAATTTCTTGTGAATGATGAGGAAAAGTCACAACTGTCTCTAAGAGAGAAGCTACCTAGGTCTGGTCACAGGAAGAAAAAGATGAGTCATGGTGGTTGATGACTGTCTGATGAGGGGGCTGCTGAAGTAGCCACATGTCACTATGACGTGAGCAATAGTAAAGTCTACCGGTGTCCCAGGGTGTGGAGCGGGGGGGGGGGGGGGGGGGATGTGGAGAAGGGCCTTCCAAAACTTGTCAAACCTGGGGACCATTACCCATTTCTGGTGATTCACAGGAGAAAAATTGATCATGCCCTAAGGCAAGTATCTCTAGGCTTTTATGAAAGATTAGGTAAGAAACTGAAACTCTTAGGGTGATAAGTACTGTTTTTATCACTGCTGTCCCTTAAAAGGATTTCAGAAGGGAAAGCTAGCTTTGGGAAGTGATTGGCTCTTTGGAAGACAGTGGCCAAAGCTAGGATTTGAATTTCTGGACAAAGGCTTTAGATGCGGAAATGATGGGCTCTTGATAAAAAATTTGTGCCCTTTTAAGAATGATTGGGGAATATTTATTTGGAGATGTTTGGATCCATATAGGGAAAGGGGCATGTAATGGAGTTAAGAACAACTAGGTTTTAATTCCAATTTCTGCCTTAATCATCTGTGTAACCTTGGGTAAATTGGCTACACTGTCTGAATCTCAATTTCCTTACCATTAATTGGATTAGTTGACAGTGAAGGTGCCTTTCGGCTCCGTATGATCCTGTGAAGCATGATACCTGGGTATGATTTTGGACTGTTTCCTAATTAGCTCCTTGATATTGAGAACATCACTGAATCTCTCTGGGTCTCACTTTCTTCACCTGTAAAGTCATATAGTTCAATTAGATGATCACCCTGGTCTCTTCTGATTCTAAGCAAAAACTTTGTGCAGGGATAAGTGTGTGGAGATTTCAGAGAAAGAAAAATGGAAAGGTAGGCACATTTCCCACCTGTGAATAATTTCCCACTTGTGAATAATGTTTAGTGTGACAGGAATATCCTTCAGGAAACAACCAACCGGAGGCTTGGGGTAGGAGTAGGGCAGGGGCCTGCTGGAGCCAGCTTTGACCTCTGGAGAATCCATCATTAAATGTTCAGAGTGAGCATTTACACCCCAGAAATCCACAAAGGCTACCAATCTGGGCTCGAGTTACTTGTTTTGTTGATTGTCTAAACTTAAGAAAGTGATGGGGAAAATGGGGTTTTTTTTGTTTGTTTTATTTTTGGTGAGGCAATCAGGGTTAATTGACTCGCCCTGAGGGGGCAGCTAGGTGGCGCAGTGGATAGAGCACTAGCTCTGAAGTCAGAAGGACCTGAGTTCAAATCTAGCCTCAGACCAAACTTAACCCCAATTGCCTTAAAAAAAAAGTGACTTGCCCTGGGTCACACAGCTAGTAAGTGTCAAATGTCTGAGGCCAGATTTGAGAAAATGTTAATAATACAGATTAAACTTAAAAATGTGTTGTGGGTATGTTTTTTTCCCCTGGAGAGCTGGTTGTTAAACATTTACCAGCACATTTCTGGAATGGATTTATGTAAGAGTTTATGATTCTATGTTGAAGAGGCGGGATTGACAGGACTTTGTAACTTAATTGGATGTGAGAGGTAAAGAAGAAGTAAGAGTCAAAGATAATCTGAAAGTTGAGATTGTAATGTTATAGACAAAAATAGCAAAGGAAAAACCAGTTTAGGGGGAAAGACAATAAGTTTGGTTTGGGATATGGTGACCCAGGGCCAATGACACAGAAAAACAGAGGTGAGGTCTCTTCTCAGGCTCCTAATATCTTCAGGTTTTTATTTAGGGAGGGATACCCTAGACACAGCCTGACACTTAGCATTTGGGGCTTGAAACAGGCCTGCAGTTGGTGTCTAGGAATGACCTAGCTGACTTAACAGGGCTTTTCCATTTCCTGGATTTCATGTCCTCAGATGTGTAATGGTTGGGCTAATTCATGGGGTTATTTCAGAGATTATTTACAAGTAAAAATCAACACCCTTTCTGTACTTGGCAGATATGCCTGCCAGGTCTGGCCCCAGATGCCTAATAGGATAACTTCAGAAACAAGTTGTATTGGCACCAGACACCAGAACCAACCAAGTCATTACTGACTTTTTAATGTCCAATTCTAGTAACTAGCCTGTTTCAGCACACAGAACTTCCCAGGGAGGACTCTGGCCCACCTGTTTCTATGACTTGAACATTCCATCTCTTCACTCTTCTAAGACTCATTACTAGATTAACCAATTGTTTTAGGGAAAACAAGGACATTTGCTGTTCATATGGCATATAGTCAGGGTTTACCACGGACTTGTTGGGTTAGTTATGTTTTCATACACACTCTGTTTGCATCTAGCCATGTCATAAGCTTCTGGAGGGCAGAACCCTGTGGGTTACATTTTTTAATTCGCAGGTTGTAGCATTTGGAGCTGTAAGGACCTGGAGAGATCAAAACCCCTCCTTTTTATTTAATTTTTATATGTTTTATTGACATCAGCCTTGTGTTTTTACGTCATAGTCATTTCTGGATGCTGCCTCTTTCTCCTGTCCCCAAAGTGGAACCCTCCATTGTCACACGGGAAGACAGCTAAAGAAAACAATGGCTACAGTGGCCTCTCTAGGCCCCAGTCCTGGGAGGACAGAGGGTTACATCAGCTGTTCTCTGGGACTGCAATTTGTCATTCTAATTACTCAGGGTTCAACTTCCTCTTAGGCCCTTCTCATTCCCATTATCGTAGTCACTGTGTGTGCTGTCCGACTGGTTCTTATTTCACTTCATACAAGTTTCTCAGGCCGTGTTTCTCTGAATTTCTCACATTCATCATTTCTTATTGCAAAACAGCATGCCATTACATGGACATACCACAATTGGTTCAGTCATTCCCTAATTGATGGACACTCACCTCGTTCCCAGTTATTTACCCTTCAAAACTGCTGCTGTGAATGTTTTAGCATACATTGTACCTGAGTTCTGGGCTGTTCTTCCTGATTTTCTGTCCTCAGGAATACACCCAGTAGGGGAACCAAGACATGTGAAGAGTTGTCACTCTATCCTTCCAAGTTGTTTTTAGGTCAATTCGTGGCTCCATCAACAGTGTAGAAGTGTGTCTTCCGACAACCCTTGTGATAGAGGCTGGTTTTGATTTCACTAATTTGCTGCCAGTCCCCTTATTTTACACAGGATGAAACTGAAGACCAGAGAAAGGGAGAGATTTGTTCCATGTGACAGTGACTAAGCAGCTGAGCGAGGCATCAAACTTAAGCCTTCCGACATTGAATCTAAAGCTTTATTCTCCATACTGCATTTCTATTCTTTTAATCTATTTCCATCATATCATTTCTATCCTTTCTAGACTACAATTCTATCCTTTTAATTCAAGAAACATCTATGTAGTACCAATGTTAAATACGTAATGCAAGAAGACCCTCAATACATATTTGTCGAACGCTGGATTTAGGGTCATAGGGTCTGGGTTTGAATCCTGCCTGCCTTCGTTACTTAAAATCTATGTGACCTTGGGAGAGTCACTAAAATCTTTGAGCCTTAGTTTTCTAGTCTGTAAAATGGAGGGAGTAGGGGGTAGTCTAGATGATTTTTAAGGTTTCTTCCAGATCTAAATCTGGGATTCTATGATGCTATGAATATTGGAGTTAGGCAAGCACACAGAGGCAGCTGGGTGGCTCAATGGATACAGGGCTGGTCCTGGAGTCAGGAAGACCCGAGTTCAAATTTGGTTTCAGACAGTTACTGTACCCAGACAGCTGGGTGACCTTGAGCAAGTTTTTTAACTGTTTGCCTCAGTTTCCTCATCTGTCAGATGATCTGATGAAGTAAATGGAAAACCACTCTAATATCTTTGCCAAGAAAATCCCAAATGGGGTTACAAAGAGTCAGAAATGACTGAACAACAACAGAGCAAATAGGTCTATTACCAGATTGACCCTTATGAAAACCATGAAGCAGGCCAAATTTTGTCTTCAGGGTTCTTCCACCATCATTTCTGTCTCCTTCTCTTACCTCCAGTTTTGCCTGCTTTCCCCCATCTGCCCAGTAATCTCGTGCTATCTCCAACTACCCAGAGTCCTGCCCTACATCCAGCCCGAAGCTTCTGCTGTATTATGAATACTCTTCCAACAGTTCCAAACTCAGTGCCATCCAAGCTGAGGAGGCAAGGGTCTGAGAAACAAATCACATCCAAGTCATGATGACCGATGGTGATTTTTCAAGGGGCCATCTTGCTTTTACCCAAAGGAATGAATCCTGACAGTGCAGTTTAAGATACCATGACAGGGCAATAGAAGAGACATATTTGGGTGAGAGTGCAGGCCTTCTGAGTGGCCTTAGCCTCAAACCATTAAGTAACCATCTGTATGTAATTAGCTGTAAGCCAACCCAGATTAATTTTTTTTTTACACTTCAATCACCTGTTTTGCTTGTCTCTAGGCAAAGCTGAAGTGATCAGTAGCTCCCATGAGAAATTCATAATTTCCAGAATGTCCTAGATGGAAGGGACCTTGGAAATGGTCTAAGTCAGAGATGGGGAACCTGTGGCCTTCTAGGTCCTCAAGTGGAGCCCTTTGACTGAATCCAAATTTCACAGAACAAATCCCCTTAATAAAAGGATTTGTTCTGTAAAACTTGGACTCAGTCAAAAGGCCATACCCAAGGACATAGAAGGCCACATGTAGTTTCAAAGCTGCAGGTTCCTCACCCTTGTACAGTCCCTTCATGTTACATAAAAAAAAAATCCAGAGGATAAGTGATTTGCTACAGGTCACACAGCTAGTAAGCAGAAGAATTAGGATCTGAATCTTTTGATTCCAGATCTCAAGACTCCGAGTGAAGATCTGAAGACTCTGCTCTTGATATGGTAGGAAGTGGATGCCATTTGAATTTCCAGGGCAATGTGGATTCTCAGACTCCAGGGCTTTATGGGATTAACGTACGACTTGTCCTTAGAGGGGTCAGGGCAGCACTGGCAGCTTTCTACCAACCTGTGTCTCCATCCCTTCCTTGTTTATAGGATATTCAGTATAGGACAATTATTTTGGACAGTAAGTATCCCACATTCCTTATCAGAGTGTCAATTTGTATTCTGAAGGAGGTGTAAGATATACACACACACACATAATGCATATGTATGTATATATGTATATGTATATATATGCACATACAATATAATATTACAACATGGACTCCCCGTGGGAACTGAGGCTGGACCTTCAACCTCATTATCTATTTCCTTCCACTCCTCATTTTACAAGTGAAGAAACTGAGGCCCAGAGATGAAAAGTGATTTGCCCAAGGTATTAAGTAATGCTTAAATACAAGTGAAGCTGGGGTAGAAACGTACACATACCTCTGCAACCCAACTCAATTATCACTGCTGAAGGTATTTACACCTGTGAGCTCCTGTCTTTCCCACCACATGAAAATTCTTCCTTATTCTCTCTGCCAAGTTCACACTACCGCTGAATGACCTCTTCCCTGCTGAGTCTTTTTACAATATTAGACAGAGGAGACTCCAAGACCCTAGCTTTCAGCCACATAGAAGGAGAAAAACTCGAAGTGAACATTATCACCTCTATAATTGACTATACTTTATGAGAATGCTATGAGTCCTTGAGTGTTCGCTCTCTCCCACCTCTCCTGTACCCCTACCGAGGGAACAAAGTCCACAGAGTTCCTCAGTTGCCCATTGAACTCTCAATATGACCTGGGGGACTAACTTACTCTCGACTGAAATAGAACAGCCTCTAAGTCCCTCAGAGATTTCCCTTGGGGAAGGCCTGGTGCCTTCTCATCTCCCTGGGGCGGTTGGGATTTAACCTCAGCTGCGCTTTCATTGTCCTGGTATTTAACACAGTCTTCCTGATTCTGCAGCTGTGCTTGGCTTAGCTTTCCAGGCGGGGTGGGGTGGGTGCGTGGGGGGTGGTGGTGCTGATGCTGACGGTGCTAAAGTATGTTCACTGTCTGCTGGCATTATGTCCTACAAGGGATTAACCATCAATGAATAAAAGGAGGAAAGCTTTGCAGAGGTTGATGAGGATGAGCCTTCCCTCCTTTCCCACATATACATATAAATATAAAGTTTATATTTACACTTATAAATGTGTTTATATATACAATATACGTATTATATGTAAGAGGTAAGATGTAAGATATATAAACACAAAATAATATATATAAACATAGAATATACACATTGGGTATGGCATGTATATTATATACATGTATATATAAACAAAGTTTATATACACTCATATATTATCCATATATGTATATGTGTAGATATAAACACAAAGTTTATATCTACACATATGTGTGTATATCTATACACACATATATGCATACAAATGACATAATTTGTGTGTTATATATACAATTATATATATATACAAATATATAATGTATGCATATAAGTATACAAATATATAAACACAAAGTATATATACTTGTGTGTTTACGATTTATACATAGATAACTGTAACATGTTATATATTTATACATGTAAATATAAATACAAAGTTCATATGTAGACTTACAAATGTGTTTAAACACATATATATGTATATACATTATAGATATAACAGGCATAATATGTATATGCATTAATATGTGTATGTATACGTGTATGTATGTGTGTATATGTGTATTAAGCAAGGTGCTTAAATATTTTTATTCATTCATTCGTATATGTATATTATGTGTATATGTGTATGTGTATGTGTGTGTGTGTGTGTGTGTGTGTGTGTGTGTGTGTGTGTGTGTGTATGTGTATATGTAGTTGCTAAACCATACTGGCATTGGTAAATATTTGGGAGTGATCTGGGCCTGATGTTACCTATGGAGCTATTGGTTTTGTGGGTTGTGTTTGGCCACAGTTGGGATTTTTGCCAAAACTATTCCAAAGACATTCCCCAAATCTTCAACTTAATAATAAGGAACTAGTATCCATTCAGAGTGAGACATAGTCTGAGGCCTGAAATTGACATTCAGCCTGGCAACCCCAAAGCCCCATAGATTCCACAAGGAGGAGGACTTCAGCAAAGGTATCACATTTTATCTCAGGGCTAACGTCATCGTGGGCATCTTGCCATGGAACATCTTTATTTGGATGCCAAAAGCAAGGAAGATCCTTAAGGTTGGAGAAGAGTAGAATCATAAGTAGCTAAGTTCTTCAACATTCACAAAGATTAAAGTCACCACAGTAAGTCAAACAAAGGGAACTTAGAGTAACACAAAATGTATGGCAGTGAGTAGAAGAGTATTTTATATCTGTCTTACCTCCCATGTCATTGTGGTTCCTTTGTATCCCGAATCTTCTGTCAGTAGTTTCAGTCATCCAGAAAAAAACTCTAAAGTGTTTGAACCATGAAAAAAGCTTGGTTCTTCTCTAAAAAAAAAGTATGTATATCCATCTATTATCTATCTATATCTACTATCATCTATCTATCTATCTATCTATCTATCTATCTATCTATCTATCTATCTATCTATCTATCTATCTATCTATATCTCCTTTCCCTTTGTTTGCTGAACCTGAGGCTTCCTGGACTGTCCACTGTCATAGCTTTAGCTCTTGAGTAAGGGAGAAGGGGGGGGGGTATCACCCTTAGATATCTGTGCCTACTTTCACCACATCTCAATGATGTGCCCCAAACTAATGGTATTTTGTGTGGGATTGCACTCCTGATTATCAATGCAGCAATCTAATTGAGTAGCCACTTCCGTAATTCACCATCACACAGTGGAGTATGATGGTTCAATGTCTACACTAAGTGTCTGCAGGTGATACAGTCGAGCTCAGGGGCACAGATGCAGATCTCTGCCTAACTGAATATCCCAGATGAGCTTCCAAAATGTAACTCATGTCAGAAGGCTAGCAAGACACAAGGGGTCCAGGTATACTTGGGGTAGTTTTTCTCACTCTTTGGCTTTTTGTCCATATACCCAAGACATGTGGGATAGTACAATGTCAGATTTTTAGAATATGTTGATTGGTTTTGCTGAAAATTTTCCTCTTTTTTTTTTCCTTTACATTTTTTTTCTTTTGTTATCAAGGATGGCTCTCTGGAAGGGGCATGGGGGTGGGGGATATAGGACTGCAAAAACAAAAGATATCTATAAAAATCTATCAAAAAAGATACTCCAGCCCACATTGCTTTTTCACTTTTTTTTAACTCTCTTAGCATCTAAATACTCTCTACCACTTTTCAGCTGTCTCATCTGTCAGATGTATGTTAGTCAACAGATCACTTAATAGTTATTCTCTTACTTCTTAAAACTTACAAACTTACAAACCAAACAAACATGGTTCTTCCCTCTCCGCTTCCTTCCCTCTGGGTCTGGTTCCTCCTACTCCTAACTCCTGCTCTCTTTCTATTTCTCAGTCCCCAACCCTTGAACCACTGAATCTCACTGAGGTGAGGAAGCAGAAGATGGAGGTATCCATGGTAGAGAATTTATTTGATCAGTATCTTCAAAATTGCAGGTGACCCACAGGGTGGGCATAAGCAGGCTGTGTGCTGGAAATCACTACTGACTTGTGTGCAGGAAATGGTGTAAAAGATGTCACTGAGGACAGATATGATTGGAAAAAGGGGGTTATGTGCAACCATGTACCAAGAATCAGGAGTAAGCAGATGGCCAGCTGGAGTGCTGTACCTATACCCATAGGATATTTCAAGATCTAAAGGAAGGCTGATGATGTGTTGGAAGATTCATGGAAAGTCATGGACAAGGTTTGCATGAGATGAAAATGGGATTGTCATCTGCACTGGTAGGAGATGTGCCCAGAGGGGTGAGAGCATGGATCCATTAAGGAATCAAAATGTATTGGTTCATAGTTTAATTTGGGCTGGGAAACACTGCTAGCCCTAAACTGAGCTATCAAGAGGCAACCAAGTAAAACAAACAACTTGGCAAGGTTTCAGAACTCTGATCAACACAATGACCAGAAGACTCATGCTGAAGCATGCTACCCAACTCCTGACAGAGAGGTTATGGGTGTGATGGAGACCAATATATGCTTGAGACATATATACTTTTTGGACATGGCTGATTCAGGAATTTCTTTTGTTTGGCTATACATATTTGTTATAAGGGCATTGTTTTTCTTTCTTTTTCAGTTGGGAAGGGGAGAAGGCAGATTTTGGTTACTTGAAAAATAAAATTTAATAAAAAAAACAAACAAGCAACCAAGAAAAAGAAGTGGGTGTGGGTAATGTATTCTGTTGGGAGGACAATTTGAGCTGTCCATGGTCTTCGTCCAGCCCCATTATTTATTCTAGGGTGGCACATTGGTCGTCCCTCTCTACCCCACTTAATGCAGACCAGCTATCTGTTCCCTTCTGACTTAGGCCCCAGTTTAACAAAATGCCCCAAGGATCAGGCATGGAAGATCAGACATTTTTTGCTGTAAGTTCCTTGGGAGTCTTATTTCAACTTAGTTTTTGCCTGGCACAGGTGGAAAGGATACAAACATTTATCAAGTGCCTGCTCTGTGCTGGGCACTGTAGTAAGTGCTATACAGATATGATCTCATTTAATTCTCACAACAGGTAGTGTTACAAGGTAGGTTCTATTATTATTTCCATTTTACAGTGGAGGAAACTGAGGCAGACAGAAGTTAAGACTTGCCCAGGGTCACACAGCTAATAAGTGTCTGAAGCTAGATTTGACCTGGATTTGAACTCAGGTCTTCTTGACTCCAGGGCCAGATCTCTATCCACTACACATCTAGTTGTCTCTAGCATAAGACCCTTTACATAATATGTCCTTAATAAGTGTATTTATGTCTTTAACTTCCATTCCCCTGGTAAAGAGTGAAAAAAAGAAAAAGAAAAAGAAAAGGCATTTATTACTATGTGCCAGGCAATGACAGTAATTAGCAAATTTGTCTCATCTGGCATTCTATGCTGCTCCCCCTAGGGAGCTCAAACTCAAGCTATTGGATCTCACTTAGCTTTGAGTCGGCTATGTCCTATGGCCAAGTTTTGACCTTAAAAGCAGTTAATTTTAAAAGGACCTGAGAGTTTTAGTGGCCTGCATCCTTAACATTAGGGCAGCTAGGTGGTACAGTGAATAGAATGCTGGGCCTGGAGGCAGGCAGATTCATCTTCCTGTTTGCCTCAGTTTCCTCATCTGTAAAATAAAGGAAGTGGCAAAGCACTGCAGTATCTCTGCCAAGAAAACCCCAAATGGAATCACCAAGAATTGGACACAACTGAACAATAGTGTAATTTTTGTACTCAGTGAAACAACCCCCTCTGCAATATTATCAGATACCTAGTATAATGTACTCAACCAATTCCCTCTACAAGGTGGCTGACAAGCAGTTAGCTTCTGCTTGAACATGTTTAGTGTTGAGTTGTTTGTTATCTCCTAAGGCAGACCTTTCTGTTGTTGGATAATTGGGAAGTACTTTCTTATGAGAAGGTCTCTGCCTTTAAGGCGCTTCTAACTCCTTTTGGAAGAATGGATTCACCTTGTCAGACAGCTAAATGTGAGACAATTAGCAAACAATCTAAGATGGCAAAGAGTTAAGTGCCTAAAGCGAAGCCAGACCAGGTCCAGATCATTTGGATGCTACAACTTTGTCATCCTACAGAGTCTCCATTACGTACAGGCAGACCCTCCCTCCTCAATGCTGTTTGGTCAATGGAATTTTTGAAAAGAGACCATTAAATCCCCATAAAACCTTAAGTTTGTATTATATGCAATAATTTTCAGAGCACCTCAACATCCATTTTCACTTTTGATCCTCTTAAGAACCTTTTGACCTATGGGACAGGTATCATTATTCCCCATTTCCAGATAGGGAGATAGAAGCTAAGAGAGTTAAGTTACTTGCCCGAGGTCAAACAGCTGGTTCGTGATACAGATAGTAGTGGTAGTAGTAGTGGTAGTAGTAGTAGTAGTAGTAGTAGTAGTAGTAGTAGTAGTAGTAGTAGTAGTAGTAGTAGTAGCGGTGGTGGTGGTAGTGGTGGTAGTGGTGGCAGTGGTGGTAGTAGTAGTAATAGCAGTAATGATAATAATGATAGGTCATGTTTATATCAATATGAAAGACAGAGAAGTATAGTGGAAAGAGTGTTAGTACTCCTGACTTGGAGTCAGGAGACCTGGGTTCTAATCCCTGCTCTGATTTGTGCTTACCATGTGATCCCAGGCACATTACTTGACTTTTCTGGGTCTCAGTTTGCTCACCTGTAAAATGCAGTTAATAACATTTATGGCATTTGGGCGAGAGACTGATTGTGTGGAAAGTGCTTTGTTAGCCTTAAAAGATCATCGAAATGTGAGCTATTACTATTATCTAGTGCTTTACAGTATGCAAACCATTTTCATATAGGTTATCTTGTTTGATACCTGTGAGATAGCAAGACAGATATTGTCGTTCTTGGCTTACTGAGGAGAAAACTGAAGCCCTGAGTTGTTAAGTGACTTATATGGGTCATACAACTGGTTAGTGACAGGGCTGATACTGTAACGTGGTACAGTGGAATGACTGCTGAACTTTACTATTGAACTTGGAGTTAAGAGACCTGAGTTCGAACTTAGCTCTGCTTGGTGGAACTTGGTGGTACAGTGGATAGAGAGTGCTGGGCCTGTAGACAGGAAGACCTCAATTTGAATCCAGCCTCAGACTCTTATTAGTTGCTTGCTCCTGGTCAAATCACTTAACCTCTGTTTGCTTCAGTTTCCTCAGCTGTAAAATGGGGATGATAATAGTACCTAACTCCCAGGGGTGTTGTGAGGATCAAATTAGATAATGTTTATAAAGTGCTTAGTATAATGCCTGACACATAGTAGGTGCTTAATAAATGGTTTTTTCCTTCCTTCCTGGGTGACTTCGGGGAAGTCAGACTCTCTAGGCCTCAGTCTCCTCAGGTATAAAATGAGAGTGGGACTAGATTCCTTTAAGACCAGTTCAAATACAACCTTCTGTTGGTCTTCTACTACTTCCTTTCCCACTGCTAGTGCTTTTCTTCTGAGATTAACTCTTATTTACACTGTCTATATCTTGTTTGTACATGGGTGTTTGCAGGTTTTCTTTATCATCAGACTGTAAGTTCCTTGAGGGCAGGGAATGTTTTTGTCTTTCTTTGCATTTCTAGTGCTTAGCACAGTGCCTGGCACATAGTAGGTGCTTAACAAATGTTTGTTGATGACGATGAATTAGTTGACCCTTAAGGAATGCTATATCTATAATCCTATAGCTCATAATAGGTTCTCAGGGTCCCTTCAAGACAATCCTTTGTAACCTGAGTGTCTTGACTTACACACACTGAACATGAACAGCAGCAGTTACCTCTTTCCTCCTAGCTATGGAGGGAGGACAGCATTACCAAAAACATCATGTTGGGTGGTTCCAGTGAGCTGGAAAACCAGAAGCTATGTTTGGTTTGATCTGTGAGGGAGGCAGGCTGGGTGTAGGAAGGGCTGCTTGGAATGTGTGACTTCAGCTCTGGGCTGTTTGCAAGGAAAATGACAGGACCCTTGGAAGGAGAGTGGGAATGTCCCCAGCCTCTCAGCCTTCACCAACTGAAAGGACTTGGTTTCATAACACAAATGTCTTTTCCTCTTTCGTTAGCCAGTGAACTCTAGGGTGGTGGCTTCAATTGCCTTCTCCCTTTTCTTGAAAGGTCAGTGAGGAGTGGGCCAGATGTGCTTGGATGGGATGTGCCTTGGCCCCCGATTCACGGGTGGCAGCTGCCACATTCCCTCAGCATCTCTGCTGTGGATGAGCTCACTTGTGGCTACCTCAGCCAAAGCGGCCCTCCTTTTCTCCTCTCCCCTCCAAGGGCTGAGCCTCGGAGGAAAGAAGTGGGAGGTGAGTTTTCAAATGTCAGGGAGGCCTACAGAGTGCTGACTCCTAAATGCCAGGCATAACTGAGGCTAGGGACCGAGAATAGGAACAGTGGAGGCCCCATCAGCTGCTAAGAATTCTTTGTTTTTCAGCTTCCCATGGAGCCCACAGTGGCCCAATTGACTGAAACCGCTACAGGCTTGGTCCTCCAAAGGGTTATGGGCATTGTGCTAGGAACAATGCTCTAGCCTAAAGGAATGACTTCGTCATGGTGGAATCTGCATTCAGGTGTGGGGGCTCTGCCAACAGGATACACAGTAGGCTGTCTCAGGACATTAGAAATATCCCATTAGAATGGGATAATCAGGATGGGGGGGAGGCAGGGTCCTGTCTGAAAGACTGATCAAAGCTGGCCTTACTCTAAGATAGGCAACATGGTTTAATAGAAAGAACAAAAAGGGAATTTAGGACTACTAAGTGAGAGCTCAGCTCTGGCACTGGCCAACTGTGTGACTGTCAATAAGTTATTTACCCTCAGGAAGCCTCAGTTTCCTTATCTGCAAAATGGAGATAATAATATTTGCATGAGCAAATGTTTTGTAATTCTTGAAGAGCTATATAAATATGAATTATCATCATTATCATCATCACCATCATTATTTGGTTGTGCTAGGAAGAACCCCTCCTCTCCTTATAAAAGCATTCCTCAAAGACTTGCCTGTTACTACTCACCTAAGACTATTCATGCACTCCATAAAAAAATAAAAAATAAAATTCATTCATTCAGAGGCCTAGCACAGTGTCTTGAACATAGTAGGCATTTAATAAAGGTTTGTTGAATTTAATTAGACAAACATTTATTAAGCACTTTACATAGATTGCTGTGCTAGGTGGGGGAAGGGGGTTTGTTTTGAAAAGGCATCTTTCTGCCTCTCATTGAGTTTATAGTAGAATGGGGGCAATAAGACACTGAGGGAAGAAAAAAATGGGAAAAAAGAAAGTTACATTATAACATTATTATATATTTAAAAGGAATAGCAGGGGCAGCTAGGTGGTGCAGTGGCCCTGAACTCAGGAAAATCTGAGTTCAAATCTAGCTTCAGACCAAACACTTGACACTTATTAGCTGTGTGACCTTGGGCAAGTCACTTAACCCCAATTGCCTTAAAAAAAAAAAAGGAACAGCAAGTTGTATATGACAGATTTTTAGCTTCATGTACAATCATCTTTTCTTCCTATTCTGCTATGCTTTGGAAATGCTTGCTTTATTATTTAAGTTCAGAAAAAATGAATAAATTTTTAAAAATATTTTGTACGATATTATAGGATAATTGGATTAGTGAGTTATAAACCAATGTTTGTCTGAGATCTACAAGGGAAGGTCATTCCAGGTACAGTGCTGGATTTAGAGTCAGAGGACCTGTGTTCAAATCCTGACTCTGCTACTTACTACCTATGTGACCTTGGACAAGTCACTTCTCTCTGAGCCTTAGTTTCTTCATTTATAAAATGAAGTCTGCCTGGATGATCTCCAAGGGTCCTTCAAATTCCACATCCTATGATCCTAATATAATAATCAGTCTATATAAGAAAATGTACCATATGAGAGAAACAGAGTTCTGTAGTTCTAAAGATGAAAGGAAGATTATTTCAGGCTGGTTAGGGAATGGTGCAAGGGGGCTTGGAAGGAGGTAGATTAGAGAAGGCTATATGGAAGAGAAAGCATTGTCCATGAAGATTGGGCAGTATTTGGATAGGTAAAGATGGGATAGGAGTAAAAATTCGAGCAAGAAGGAGATTCCAGGTAGAGGGAAGACATGAACAAAAACAGAGAGGGAGGAAGCACAAGTCATATGAGGGGGTGTATCACCGTTAAACTAATTTGGTCAAAGCATAAAGCACATGAAGAGAAGTCAGAAGCTGGAAAGAAAGGTTGAGGTCCAATGTTGGGGCCTGCTTTGAATGCCAGGTTAAGAAACTTGAACTTTTTTGGTTAGGCAATGGGATAGTATTGAAGGTGTTTGGTGGTAGAATGACGTGTTCAAAGTGATGGTTTAGAAGGAATAATCTAGCAGTGGCATAAGATGAAAATGTTCAGGAGAAGAGCAGGAGCTAGAGGTGGGGAAATAAACTGGAAGCTATTTCAGTCATCCATGTGAAAGGGAAGGAGGATTGCTACTGAGTGTGTGCCAGTGGGAATGGAAAGTTGTTGTTCTTGTTCAGTTGTTTGTAGCTGTGTCTGACTCTTTGTGATCCCATTTGGGCTTTTCTTTTCAGAGATACTGGAGTGGTTTGCCATTTCCTTCTCTGGTAATGGAAAGTAGAGGAATGCTATGAGACATTAAGGATGTAGAACTAACTAGATGTGAAAGAGGAAGAAGAGGAAGTCAAGGATGACTCTTCTCAGGACTCCAATTTTCCCCTAAAATGCATTTTGGGTATAATTGTCATGGCTTGGTGTCTTGTCCAAAAAGATAGAATTGGATTCTTCATCAGCTGGCACCATGACCTAGGGTCACATCTTTTGTCCAGCCTTAAAGATCATTTCTGGCTTTGTGGTGATGGCTTTTTTCCTATCTTCTATCTCTCCTGGTTAGATTTCATCTCTTTGTACCTCATTTTGTGATATTGTTTCTGCTTTTGTCCAGCCCTTGAATCTGATATTTCTGATTCCCACCTCCACACCCCACAACCTTCATATTATCAATCTCCACTAGCTTTTTGGACAGGTGCCCCTCAAACACCTCTTTGCCTCTCCTAGTGATTGGATGGAGCTTTGATAACTCAGAAATTTTGAGCTTGGTTAAATAGCAGAATGGTGGCAATGGACAGAAATAGGGAAGAAAAGAGAGATGCTGGCTTGGAAGAGCAAGATGGTGAGTTTAGTATTAGACATGATGCTTTGGAGGCATCTGCAAGATGGTCAGGTGAAAATGTTCAATTGACAATTAGAAATCTATGAGCTGGGGAGAGAGGCTAAGGCCAGAGATATAATTTTATGAGTCAGGCATATAAGGGTGGTAGCTGGCACCATAGTTAGATCAGTAAGGGGTCGTATGGGTTTAGAAAAAAGCTCAGAGGACAGAATGTGACTCTTGGGGTATTTGGATAGTACTCACACTTGGGAGATGGGAGAGGATAGTAAATGAAACCTCCCCCCACCCAAAAAACCTTGCTATGGTTATAGAGGTAGGAGAATTAGAATTGCCCAAAGTCTAAGAAGAATTTTCAGGAAAAGGGAAGTTTAAAAAAATCAAATACTGGGGATAATAAGATGGAATGAGAAAAGACAATCAGATCTAACCCTCAGGAAGTCATCAGGGACCTTAAAGAGAACATTTTGGTTATGTATGTGAGGGGAAACAATAATGAAACACAGATACATTTGGGGTTGAGG